GCATTGTAAATTTTGGTCAATGACATGAGACAAAGTATATGTGAACTGCTGTATGAAAAGTGAATTTACTCTGTAAATCTTCACCCAAATCCTAATAATAAAAAAAAAAAAAAAGAGTAGTTGAGGTGTTGAGGTGTTATGTTGAAGGCTGTAGTCTTTGATCTTCATGAGTAAGTGTTTCAAGTGTTCTTCACCTTCACAAGCAAGGTTGTGTCATCTGCATATTACACATTGTTAATGATTCTTCCTCCAATCCTGATGCTGTGCTCTTAATCATACAACCCAGCTTCTTGGATTATTTGCTTAGCACACAGACTGATTAAGTATATGGTGAAAAGATACAACAACCTTGATATACCTTTACTTACTTTAAACCATTTACAATATAGTATTGCTGTGCTCTGTTCAAACAATTGCCTCTTGGACTATGTACAAGTTCCTCAAGAGCACAGTTAAATTCTGGAATTCCCATTCTTCGCAATGCTGTCCATTATTTGTTATGATCCACAAAGCTGAACACTTTTCCACAGTCAATAAATATAGGTATACATCTTTATGGTATTCTCTGCTTTCAGCCAAGATCCATTTGACAAGCAATGATGTCCCTTGTTCCATGCCCTCTTCTGACTTTCTGCAGTTCCTTGTGGATGTACTGCTGCAACCATTTTTGAATTTTTGTCAGCATAATTTTACTTGCATGTGATACTAATTACAATGTTTGATAATTTTTGCATTTTGTTGGATCACCTTTCTTGGAATGGGCACAGGTATGGAATGCTTCTAGTCAGTTGACCAGGCAGCTGTTTTCCAAGTGAGCACTTCCAGAGTTGCATCTGTTTGCTGAAACATCTCAGTGGGTATTCCATCAATCCTAGTAGCCTTGTTTTTTGTCAATTCCTTCAGTGCAGCTTGGACTTCTTCCTTCAATACCACTGGTTCTTGATTGTATGCTATCTCCTGTAATGGTTGAATGTCAACCAATTCTTTGTGGTACAGTGACTCTGTGGATTCCATCTTCTTTCAGTGCTTCCAGCATCCTTCAACATTTCCAATTCAAAGGTTGAATTTTTTCTTTAGTTTTCACCTTGAGAAATGCTGAGTGTATTCTTCCCTTTTGGTTTTCTAATTCCAAGTCTTTGCATATTTCATTATAATGCTTTACACTGTCTTCTCACGCTGCCCTTTGAAATCTGCTCAGATCTTTTACACCATCATTTCTAGCATTCGCTTTACCTACTCAATGTTCAAGAACAAATGTCAGGATCTCTTCTGCCATCCAATTTCGTCTTTACTTTCTTTCATGTCTTTTTTTAGGAGCTCTGGTAGCATAGTGCCTAAGGCACTTGACTGCTAACCAGAAGGCTGGCAGTTCAAACCCACCAGTCACTCCT